CATCTGACACCATCAACAGCCACACATCCCACACTATCAACAGCCACACATCCCACACTATCAACAGCCACACATCTGACACTATCAACAGCCATACCACTGACACTATCAACAGCCACACATCCCACACTATCAACAGCCACACATCCGACACTATCAACAGCCACACATCCGACACTATCAACAGCCACACATCCCACACTATCAACAGCCACACATCCCACACTATCAACAGCCACACATCCCACACTATCAACAGCCACACATCTGACACTATCAACAGCCACACATCTGACACTATCAACAGCCACACCTCCGACACCATCAACAGCCACACCTCCGACACCATCAACAGCCACACCTCCGACACTATCAACAGCCACACATCTGACACTATCAACAGCCACACATCCGACACTATCAACAGCCACACATCCGACACTATCAACAGCCACACATCCCACACCATCAACAGCCACACATCTGACACTATCAACAGCCACACCTCTGACACCATCAACAGCCACACCTCCGACACTATCAACAGCCACACATCTGACACTATCAACAGCCACACATCTGACACTATCAACAGCCACACATCCCACACTATCAACAGCCACACATCCCACACTATCAACAGCCACACATCTGACACTATCAACAGCCACACATCTGACACTATCAACAGCCACACATCTGACACTATCAACAGCCACACCTCAGACACCATCAACAGCCACACCTCCGACACCATCAACAGCCACACCTCCGACACTATCAACAGCCACACATCCCACACTATCAACAGCCACACATCCCACACTATCAACAGCCACACATCCCACACTATCAACAGCCACACATCTGACACTATCAACAGCCACACATCTGACACTATCAACAGCCACACATCTGACACTATCAACAGCCACACATCTGACACTATCAACAGCCACACATCTGACACTATCAACAGCCACACATCTGACACTATCAACAGCCACACATCCGACACTATCAACAGCCACACATCCCACACCATCAACAGCCACACATCTGACACTATCAACAGCCACACATCTGACACCATCAACAGCCACACATCCGACACTATCAACAGCCACACATCCCACACCATCAACAGCCACACATCTGACACCATCAACAGCCACACATCTGACACTATCAACAGCCACACCTCCGACACCATCAACAGCCACACATCCGACACTATCAACAGCCACACATCTGACACCATCAACAGCCACACATCTGACACTATCAACAGCCACACATCCCACACTATCAACAGCCACACATCTGACACTATCAACAGCCACACCTCCGACACCATCAACAGCCACACATCCGACACCATCAACAGCCACACATCTGACACCATCAACAGCCACACATCCGACACTATCAACAGCCACACATCCCACACTATCAACAGCCACACATCTGACACCATCAACAGCCACACATCTGACACTATCAACAGCCACACATCTGACACCATCAACAGCCACACATCTGACACTATCAACAGCCACACATCTGACACCATCAACAGCCACACATCTGACACTATCAACAGCCACACATCCCACACTATTAACAGCCACACAACCCACACTATCAACAGCCACACATCTGACACCATCAACAGCCACACATCTGACACTATCAACAGCCACACCTCCGACACCATCAACAGCCACACATCCGACACTATCAACAGCCACACATCCCACACTATCAACAGCCACACATCCCACACTATCAACAGCCACACATCTGACACCATCAACAGCCACACATCTGACACTATCAACAGCCACACCTCCGACACCATAAACAGCCACACATCCCACACTATCAACAGCCACACATCTGACACTATCAACAGCCACACATCCCACACTATCAACAGCCACACATCTGACACTATCAACAGCCACACCTCCGACACCATCAACAGCCACACATCCGACACTATCAACAGCCACACATCTGACACCATCAACAGCCACACATCTGACACTATCAACAGCCACACATCCCACACTATCAACAGCCACACATCTGACACCATCAACAGCCACACATCCCACACTATCAACAGCCATACATCCGACACCATCAACAGCCACACATCCCACACTATCAACAGCCATACATCTGACACCATCAACAGCCACACATCCGACACTATCAACAGCCACACATCTGACACTATCAACAGCCACACATCTGACACCATCAACAGCCACACATCTGACACCATCAACAGCCACACATCCCACACCATCAACAGCCACACATCCCACACCATCAACAGCCACACATCCCACACCATCAACAGCCACACATCTGACACCATCAACAGCCACACATCCCACACTATCAACAGCCACACATCCAACACTGGCTAAGTGTAACCTGTGGCTTCTACAGTGCTCATCCAGAGGTAACAATTGTCAGGATCAACAAAAATAAAGTGTAAGTTACATGATGTAAGAGCTTGCATGTTGTCTACAGTATGTTAAAATCCAGGGGGCGAGTTTTTGTTTTTTAACCCATACCTTTGTAAGGCATATGTTTGTCAGTGTCTGTGGCTTAGGCATAGGAACATACTTCGTAATGTTGGGTTCGATCCCAGCTGCGGACAGCTTGTCTTTCCTTAATTTCGACAGTGGTACCAAAAGCTGACCTATGATGGGCATATAAGGCTAGACCTATATTTTACAGACCAATCAACACTTGGTGGGTGATGTGGTCAGCATCATGCTGGCCACCTTTACTTCCCAGGATTTTAGCTGGTAACAATTGAGGGCGGGGTCGGCCTGGGAGGCAAGGTCAACTATGGAGAATGTCTGGCCATGTCAGGACCTGAACACACAACCTTCAGATTCACAGGTGAGCCTCTAGCCACAGTGATGGTCCCATGTAGCTGTTACCTAAACTAGTTAATAATTTTCTTTATCTTCTTCTTCTGCATCCCTCTAAAGACGTAAATGTGTTGTGCCCGTTTACGACATGGCTGTGATATCTCCACCTTTTGGCCGACACATCTGACTTCTGCAGGCATGTGTTGTCCGGGTTAGCCTTGCTGGAAACTAGATCTATTCTAAGATGTTGTGCTTGGAAGTGTTAACTGTTTAGGTCCAAAAGAGTTACATTAGAGGCATGATGAGACAAGACTTTAGATTTAAAGCTGGGTTTTATGGGTTAATGTAGCAATTACCTGCCAGGAAAAAAAGCTAGAACAGTACACCGACTCTGGGGGTGACAAGAAATGTATAGTCTGGTGTTTCTTTTTCTTCTTTTTCTGCATTTATCCGAAGATGTAATCGTTTTGTGTCCGTTTACAGCATGGTTTGTTGACCAGGTCAGCCTTCCCGGTAGTGAGGTGTTGAGTATCCAAAGAATTAAGTCCACATGGCTAGTGCAGCAGCCACAAACTGTGCATTACAACTTTTACTGTTGCCCAATGACTGAAAAACCCACCAAAAAGCAATCTCCATCTGTTACCGAGGATCAAACCTAGGTCTCCTGTATAACAGCCCATCACTCTAACCAGCCACTCCTCACAGACACATAATTCACAGAAATGATCAGAGGAAGCTGTGAACCCCACCGGATCTACTACATCCACATCCACACACAACCTTGCGGCCTTCCAACACCTGCTATATATATTCACATACACAAATATACACTGTGGTCAAACTAAAGGGAGAATCAAACCTCAGACATCTGCGCCAGAAGGTGGATAATCCCATCTATTATCACAAAATTTCATGTAAGTATCGTCTGTGTACAACACAAATTTGTTTTCCTTCATAACAGATTTTTTTAAAAACTTGTGAGAATTTACAAAAGCAACATAAACAATACAGATGTCCAAAAAAAAGTGCGCCAACAAAATCAATGCTACACATCATAAAAACAACAAGAAAGCAACAAAGGTGGCCTCTCTATTCAGTAATTACAGTTACATATTCAAAAAATGTTTTTCTAATAATTAGGCAAAGCGTACAGTCATCCAAAAATGCGCAACTGGGTGACAGTAACCCTGGTTTTTAAATACACAAACAATATGTAATTCTCACCAGCCCAACGGTCAAATATGAGCAAGCAGCCAACCATACACTGAAGCTGGCTACACTAGACTTGGTAAATCCCAGAAAGTACTGGTGGAATGAGTCTAGTTAACATACTCAACCTGGGCGCAGTGCTCACTCTCAGCAACGATAATGTGCACTCATACAATGGAGGGGAGCCACAGTTCTGTGGTGAAGTGAGTGGTCAAGCAATTCGTGTTGCGCTCTGAAGGTCATGGATGTGTTTCACGACTGCATCATTTGGTTCTACGGTTCACGCGGGCAATTTGATGGAGATCCCTAGAGATCATTATCTATCTGTTAACTGTGACGCCTTGCGACACAAATCAGACGTTGACAACAGAATCCAATTTTCGATTAAGCTGAGTCGACCTCTGGGCCCTACTGACTTGGATAAATAACCTTGCCCTTTGTTGAGGATTAAACTAGGACCCCAGACGTAGCAGGCCAGTGCACTACCATCCAACCATGACCCTCTCAAATGCAGATTCACTTGCAAGTGTAATGCCAACAACTCTGGAGTTGAACAAGCTTCTTACAAAACTAGCAAAGTCACAAACTGGGCATACAGACAGTTCATACATTAGACCCTTTCAACTGGTGTAATCTGAGAGTGAGCACCGCTCATGGATACTCAGTGCAGCCCACTAAATATCTCCTCTCCTCTCCCAAATGACAATAGAACCAGACTCTTTAACAGTCATTAATACCTAACAGCCTGGAGGGTTGCCAACAACAACTAACGATGAAGACAGGAGTTTCCTGTGACCAGGCACATATGCACAGGAAGAATAAACTAAGCCAAATAACTACAACAACAACATCGGACATGACAATAAGCTGCAACGCCAGCACCAGCAAATGAAAATGTTCTTGTCAACTAAACAACCCAGTGAAGATGAGAGGCTGTATGATTCCAGACAACATATATGGCTGCACCTTGTGGTAATAACATCACCACACATCGGAGGTGTGGTACTAACATCACCACACATGGGAGATGTGGCACTGACATCACCACAAATGGGAGGTGTGGTACTAACATCACCACAAATGGGAGGTGTGGTACTAACATCGCCACACATTGGAGGTGTGGTACTAACATCACCACACATGGGATGTGTGGTACTAACATCGCCACACATGGAAGGTGTGGTCCTAACATTACCACACATCGGAGGTGTGGTACTAACATCGCCACACATGGGAGGTGTGGTACTAACATCGCCACACATGGAAGGTGTGGTCCTAACATTACCACACATCGGAGGTGTGGTACTAACATCGCCACACATGGGAGGTGTGGTACTAACATCACCACACATGGGAGGTGTGGTACTGACATCACCACAAATGGGAGGTGTGGTACTAACATCACCACACATGGGAGGTGTGGTACTAACATCACCACACATGGGAGATGTGGCACTGACATCACCACAAAAGGGAGGTGTGGTACTAACATCACAACAAATGGGAGGTGTGGTACTAACATCGCCACACATTGGAGGTGTGGTACTATTGGAGGTGTGGTACTAACATCACCACAAATGGGAGGTGTGGTACTAACATCGCCACAAATGGGAGATGTGGTACTGACATCACCACACATGGAAGGTGTGGTACTAACATTACCACACATCGGAGGTGTGGTACTAACATCGCCACACACAGGATGGATGGCAATAACACCCTCACACATTTCAGATATCTTGACTAAACGGAGCATCTAACCAGCAGACAATGAAAGAATAAAAACCTCCACCAGATGACTCCTGTCAACAGTCCCTGTCATGTGGCAATGGCAGGCATGTCTCTTCACTGCCTTCAGTAATCTCATGTCATGATGTCAAACTGACCAGCCACCTGCCCCGTAATTTTCCTCTTTTCCCTTCCAGCTGTCCCAGCGTCACATAATTATACAGTTTTGCCTTTATCACCAGGGGACCATGAATAGTTGTATTAGATTTAAGACTGGCACATTTAATTCACCAATGGGTGCCCCCCCCTCCCTGCTCCCTATGACAATCTACACCCTTTAATGTCTATCACACGCCGGCTGGACATCTGGGGATAATGTGAAATTAAAGTGAAACTCAAATCCGTGAAACTATTCTCAGCTGTTCAAAGTTAATTCTTCCTTCATAAAGCTACAGGTTTTGTGCTTATGGAGGTTAAGAACCTGAAGAAGAAAATACATGGTTAACTGCTTTTGTTTTTGATTTTTGTTGCACCAGGGGTACACTGGAAACTTGATGCTCGAATCGTATCTTTAATATATCAATCAGCATTTGGTGGGTGAAATGATCAACATCATGTCGGCGGCCTTTATTTCCCAGGACAATGTCTGGTACCCGCTAAGCTGCTGCGGCCACCAGACCATAATTACCTGCAGTTTTAATGCAGTGAAGCTGTGAACAACTAAGCAGATTGTCTAGAAACAAAAACCCACAGATCAATGGATACAAAATGATTCTGTCCGAGAAGAATTGATTTATACACAGGGATACATTCATGAATTCTGTATTTTCACATGCTGAAAAGAGAAGGGTTGAAAAACAAGGTCATTTAACGATCACAAGTCGGCAGACAATGGATGCTTGTAAAAGGATAACATGTGAAGCCAACAAAGAAGGTGTTCATTCATTTTTTGTATACCTCCATGGCCTCTCACTGTTAACATTTAAATATATCGGGAGCATTCATCTGAATCATATTCGTGTCACACCGCGCGTAACTGCGTGCACTGAACACGATCATGTCATGGTCATGTGATAAGTACCAACCAATGAATAAAACAGCATGTGCTTATCGTCCCGTGATGCATAGGTTGTTTATGACCTAAAAAAAATGGCAGAATGGATCCAAAATCCATCTAAAGAAGCTCAAAGCGCAGTGACTGAGTGTCTTTTACTTGAAGGATGTCAAAGAGTGGACATTCAACAAAGAATGCAGGCAACATATGATAACAAATCTGTGCCAAAGACAACAGTGATAGACTGGGAAAGAATGTTTTGGAAATTACGTGAGTTCACGACAGATCTTCCCCAGCGACTTTTTCTGACCAACCCACAGTGCACAATTCATTTAAAATGAATGGCGTGTTTAATTCTGCCACAACTGTTTATGCTTCTATCATATTTTTGTAATAAAGCCCCTGAAACAGGTTTCAAATGAACGCTCCCTATATCACGCTGTCATTTTTCAGTTGACATCTAAATATAGCCAACTTTCACTTTAACATCAAAAATATATCATCATTATTTTTTTCTTAAACATCTAAATACATGATCTTTTTCCTTACCAACATACCATTCTCATGCGTGTAGAAGTGGAGGCAAGAACAGAGAAGCTTGCAAATCAAGAATTTAGTCCAAGGAACTTGCTACATGAAGGGACTATGCAGACATCAGGTGAAAACAGGTGTACATATGGAAACATGTATATATATACAGCTAACACAATCTACCAACATTAGTTGTTCACACAAGCCATTAAATGACTACACAGTTTTGCATACTCTAAGTTGTCACCAGAGAGTTTGCGCACCTGCAGCCCTGGAACGTGTCCGTCCATCTCACTACAGACCTCCAGCTCCATCTGCAGGTCACTGTGTCCATTGAGCCTGAAGGAGGTCTCCGAACACTCGTAGTCCACCTGGGGACAGATGGAATCTAGTGCAGCCTTCACCGCCTGTAGCACATCCTCGACACTCCTACGGTGGGTGGCTTTAATCTCTAGTAATATTGATGATGTGTTGTTGGAGTCGTCTGACACCGGTGAGGTGTCCTGGTCCATTTCACAGTGGCCCGAGTCAGTGTTACATATTGACGGACGAGGAGTGTTTGCTGGAGTGGGGAATGGGGAGGTGTTAGGGGAGTAGCAGCCATTTGTTGGGGAGGACGAAGAAGGAGACGGCCCCACAGATGGGAAATGGGGAGATGAGGGACGAGAGAGGTTTGTGACATTAGCAGTTGATGTGATATGAGGTGGGGAAGGAGAGGGCGAGGATGACCCATGCTGCGACTGAGATCTTCGGTGCAGACTCTCAGTGCGGGAAGGTGAGGGAGGGGAAGATGTTATAATAGGAATGGGTGAAGTTATAGGAGAGCACACGAGGGAAGATGGCGAGGAATGTGACAAAATGGTCGTGGAATGTACATGAGGCAATGCTGTTAAGAAGTCATCACCACTTGAGAGGGTACAGTCACCTTGTTCCTGGGGGAAGCACGTTGGAGAAACCGCCCGGCTAGACAAGAACGGAATGGCCATAGCTTGGAAACCACTCGGATAATGTCTGTGAGAGCTCAGGGACAAAAAGCCAAGTGGACCATATGGCTCCGAAGGGTTGGAGTAGCCAAAGGTCTGGGAATAGAAAGGTGCAGACGGAGAAGAGTGGGGGCTGTACATATCACAGACAGAGCTCCCATGCTGGTGTTGCCCATGGTGGGAATGATGGGAATGTTGTGGGTGGTAGCCACCTCCGTGCCGCCTCATTCTGGACGCAGAGCTTCTGTGGCGCGCCGAAGCACCAACCCCTGCGGATGTGGACAATGCAGAGGCAGAGAACTGAACTGACCTCGAAGACAGGCTTGAAGGTATTGGAGGAACATACGGCAAGGAGGAAGCGGATGATAATGAAGCATGAGTTAAAGGAGATGGGGCCACCTTCTTGGCTCCTGGGATACTGGCCAGGTTGGTGTTGATCCACGAGGGGTGAAACAACTGCCTCAACTGCTGTTGATACACCTGCCGCTGCTGCTGTTGTTGCTGGTGATGATGCTGGTGGTGGTGGTGCTGCTGCTGCTGCTCCTGCAGCAAGGAGGTCAAAGTTGCTCCGGAACCAGACATTGACACATCCACACCAGCAGTCAGACTGCCCGTGATGGAATTTCTTGGGGAATCAAACCTCTCTTCCATCATGTCACTAGGATCTGTGGTGATGACATCAGTGACATGGCCATGGGCATCAGTGATGCTGATCTGAGGATTGCCTGCATAATGCCTCTTCTTAACAGCTTTATGTCTGTGGGGCTGACCAAGTCCTGGCTGATCAGCTGAAGACTCCTGCAGGTACTGTTCAAGTTCCGATGAGGATGTGGGAGTTAGAGTTTGATGTTGGCCAAAGTTCTGTGTCCCTCTGTTCGATTGTAATTCATTATCTACCACATCAACATCTTCTACATCTCTCATCTCCTCATCAATTTCCTCCATTCTCCTGCTACCACCAGCCTCTGCTGCACCCCCAGAGTGTTCCCTGATGATCTGCAAGTTGGGGTAGCTGGAAGGCGGGGATGACCTCTGCACACTCTGAGAGTAGTTCTGAAGAAGTGCCAGACCAGCACTGCCGCTGCTGCCAGCAACATCCCCAAAGAAACCACAACTCTGACCACCCCCAACTCCAGCAGAGATTCTGGTTGGGCTCTGCAGCGTCTGCAGCAGCTGGGAGAAGTTCTCTGGAGGAGTGTCAGATCCAGACTGCAAGCCCTGCATCATCTGGGTGAAACTTAATGCAGGGATAGAGTCTGGTTCAACATCAAGGCCCTGCAGGGACATATGCGGTGAGGAGCCCCTGGATGAAATAGGCATGCCTGTAATGATGCTGCCAGTAGATGCTAAGGACATAGGCAAGACTGGGATCCCAGAAGAGATGCTACCTGAACAGGGTGACCCATCTCTGCTGACCACAGGAAGACCTGAGGTGAGGCTCCCTGCCATGCCTTTACCCCCTGGATGTAGTGGGATGCCAGAAGTGATTCCTCCGGGCAGCTGGTGAAGGAAATCAGCACTGGGGCCTCCTGCAGACTGGAGTTTCATACCTCCGACAGATACAGGAATGCCTGAAGTTATCCCCGCTGTAAGAAGGGGAGGTGATGTTCTGTGTTGGGTGAGAGGAGTGGGTGACGATGATGGGGAGCCTGATGAGGCCATCTGATGGAGCTGAAGCTGCTGCAGCTGTTGGTACAGCATGGCTGACTGGGCATCTGGTGAGTGTGGTCTGGATGATGATCCCAGGCAAGGTGGGGTGGGGCTCGTAGACTGGCACATCGTAGTCTGAAAGAAAATATCAGAAGTAAGCAAGATTAAAGCCAACCTGACACAAGAAAATGCAGCCATCATTGAACAAAAACAAAAACATTAAAAGCAAAATTCCATTAGCATACACAGTGGAGTAATTAAAGTCAAGTTTGAAAGGAAAAGTAAAAAGGTTTAAGATGAAAAGGACTGACCTCACTGCACCAGCTTTATCTCACCCATAAAGCTACATCTATCACTGCAGAATGGCAAGCCGCCTGCTCAGAATGATGCACAAAGCATCCACCCCACCCCCAAACTAAGTTTTTTTTTTTTAAATGCATTCATGAGCCCAGTCACCTTTGGGAGATGAGCTGGCTACATTAGGACAGCAAGGTTTAACCACAGAGCCTCAAAGACTCCTAAAAAGTAAAGATACAGAATTCCTTCTTCTTCTTCTTGGTTCACCTTTCAACAGACAGCAAACTGTATTACAGCCAGGCTAAGATATCTACAGCTTTCGG